CATGTGGAAAATGCAGCTATGAAGCATGGGCTGAGTTTGGCCCTGTTCCATTGGCACCCATTGACCTAGCGATGAAAAGAGAAGAGGAAGAGCTGGCTGATCTGAAGTTTAGGGAGTTGTGTGAGCTCCTGAGCCCATAAGCACTGATCTAGCCAATTTGGTATAGGGTTGAGAGAGAAGGGGCCAGCTGGTCTGAAGTGCAGGGAAGTATGTATGAATTCCCAAACTTGCAGCTGGTCCTCATTTGCCTAGCTTGGATGTCTAGGGCTGAGATGGCCAGAACCTAACCAGATGAAAAAAAAGATGTTTGATATTGAGAGCAAGTGTAATTTATTATAACTTAGTGAACTGGACTTTTGCTTGTGGGTGCAGCTGCTCAAAATTCCAATCAGCATGGAAGATTCTTCCTATCAAGGAACATGTTTGTCTTCTCAGTGTACTGGGTTGTTGTTAGGTGTTATCAAGTCAGCACGGACTCATAGCAACCCTATGCACAACAGAATGATGGTGGTGGGCAATTTAGACATAGACTATCAAAAATTCAAAAATGGGGGAGGGGCTATAAAGGCATGAAGTGGCTGCTTACAAGCTTTCATGGGTGTGCTTAGCTTCAGAATGAGTAAGGGTAAGATAGAATTCCCACTGAATAGTTTTTCTCTTTTTCAGATGGGTCTGGTGAAAGAGGCTTGGGGATGATGCTGATAGGAGATTATGATTCAATTGTGAGTAACTGTTAGCAGGATTAATTTTGATTGCCAAAACTGTAACTGTAGAAGATGTGTAACTAAAAGAGGCGGGGGGTAATCTTTCATTTCAGGAACAGACGATCCCAGGACCATCAAGAAGAAATAGCATGAATACAGCATGAGATCTCTACCTAGAAAGGTACTGACAGCAGAGATGGTGGCAGAGGCGGCAGCATGGAAAAACAGAGCGCCTGTGGGTTTTAGGCCCATGGACTGAGTAAGGCTGGGTGTCTGCAGGTAGGAGACTGGCTTGCAGAATGTGCCCTTTGTAGGTTTAAATGAATATATATTGTTTCATATGTGTGCATCAAATATTTTTGCTTTGTTCATTTGTGAAATATAAGATGTCAACGAGGAACCACAGGGAGAAGTAGAATAACTGTTCTTGCAAGGAGGGGATGGTAATCATTGAGATGAAACAAAGTGAATGATTTGTAGAATGTAAAGCTGGTGATTTTGTCTGTACACCTTCATTCAATTCACAATAAGAATTAAAAATAAAAAGTTTACAGTAATCTGGAAGCACATGAAATATATAAGGTACATTTACTTGGACTTGAAACTACTTACTGTGTATATTGTAAAGTGTTTTAAAAAGTGTTTGTTGAAGAGCTGTTATTTTCCCCTGCTTCATATTCATTCCCTTTGTTTGAGTAACGGTCTCTTCTTTGTGCCTTGCAAACTAAATTTTTCCCTGCACTGCATGGCATCTTGGTGGTCATGTCAATCAAAGTGCCCTGCCATCCCTGTGACTCTTGAGTCAATTGGCCTAAGGACAGATAATGCCTTGTGATGACTTATCCCATTGGCTTCAACCTCAGGAGACATCCATCCTACTACCTAGTTTTTCAGAATTACTCTTTTTTTTCTTTCAGAATTACACTATCTTCTCTGATGCCTGCGTGTTTAACCTCTCCTTAAGTTCTGTGAGCTACCCAAATCCTTCCTACATTTCCCACTTCATTCCTTTTTTTGCATATGGTAGTCAGTCAGTCTTTGATGCTGAAAATGAAAACTCGCTTGCTTTTAAATATTTAAGAAAAAGTACTCCAAATCAATTGCGATAAAGTGTATATGTCCTTGTTAGGGAAACTGAGAATCTCTATGTTCATAGTGGAAACTATTTCAAGTTGCATCCACTTGTTGTCATGTAACTGGAGTCCTGGTGTGGCACTATAGGATAAGCACTGGACTGCTAACCAAAAGTTTGGCAGTTCAAACCCACCAGCTGTTTCTTGGAAACCCTATACAGGGTTACTGTGAGTCTGAACTAATTTGATGACACTAACAACAACAAGAGGAAGCAGCTGTGACATAGTGAAAAGACCGTTGGGTGTACCTGTGCGACTTCAGAGAACTCACACGACCTCCTGGGCCTTACTTTTCTCACCTGTAAACTGAAGAGGTTTCACAAAATTATCCTCAAGGGTCTTTTCAGCTTGAAAAAGCCAATGATTCCACACTGAAGGAATGTGAACCCATACTTAGTATATTGAAAGAACTAAAAAATTCCAGTAACCATAAACCTGAGGCCAAGTTATGTTTCTCCATGTCACACTTTTCACACATCAAACACTAATTTTCTTCCCAAAGACTCCTGTGCCAAAAGAGAATTCAGGGTTTCTCTTTTCTCTGCTTAGTAATTCTTGTGGCTGTGGAATGTCACCAGGAGAAAACTGTGTGAACTTGAGGGAAAGAGAATAAGCAAGTCCGGAGAGGAAGACCTTATCTTAAAAAGATTCTGTCAGTACAGAAACAGGGGCTGGTGGAACTAGCCTCAAACACAGAGGTTCAATTGTCTCTTCAGTTTGCTCCGCTACACCCAGTGTCTGACACAGAACGCCCTCCTGTATGGAGTCCACTGCCTGGAGAGGTGACCCATTCAGGTTGCCTCTTATCATCACATCATTTCTTGCTGTTGCTGTTACTGTTCGCTGCTGTGGAGTTGGTTCTGACTCATAATGACCACAAATACAACAGCATGAAGCACCGGTCCTGCACCATTCTCACTCTGTTACGTTAGAGCTCACTGTTGCAGCCACTCTGTCAACCCATCTCTCTCAGGGTCTTCTTTTCCACTGACCCTCTACCAAGTACAATGTCCTTTTTCAGGGACCTGCTCCTTTCTGATAACAACTATGTGAGCAAAGTTTCGCCATCCTGGCTTCAGAGGAGCATTCTGGCTGGATTTCTTCAAAGACATTTGTTCGTTCTTCGGGTGGTCCTGGTATATTCACTATTCTTTGACAACATATCCTTCAAAGGCATGAATTCTTCCTGGATCTTCCGTATTTTCCAGGTATATGAGGTGACAGAAAACATTATGGCACACCTCTGTCCTCCAAGTAATATTTGCTTTTTAACACTTTAAGAACTTCTCTACAATATTTAATGGCAGAAGACAATGAAACCAGAGCTCCAAAATCCCAAAGTGGAAGCATTTTACTACAGTTGATTTTGCTTGCCTAAGATGATATTTAAGGAGCTCTGGTAGCGTAGTGGTTACGAATCGGGCTGTGAACTGCAAAGTCAGCAATTCGAAACTACCAGCTGTTCCGCGGGAGAAAGATGAGGCTTTCTGCTCCCGTAAAGATTTACAGCCTCGGAAATCCTATACAGGGTTGTTACGAGTCGAAACTGACTCCACGGCATACAGCAACAACAACAACAAAAGATGATATTTGGAGTGGCTGTTTCCATACAATAAGCACTGGGTTGCAAACCACAAAGTCTGCGGTTTGAGCCCACCAGCTGCTCCAATGGAGAAACAAGAGGCTTTCTGCTCCAGAGAAGCTTTAACGCTTTGGAAACCCTAAACAGGGTCGCTATACGTAGGAACCAACTCAACGGCACTTAACAACAGCAAGAAGATGACATTCAAATTAAAGACTTCACAACTGAACAAATAAGTTGCATCAAGATAAATGGAAAAAAGACTGAAGATGTCAATGGTTTTACTTTATCTGGATCCACAATCAACACTCATGAAATCAGACAATGTATTGCATTAAGCACATGGGCCCCTAATCCAAGTAAAATTCAGTCCTTGACACCTTCAATCTTTTCTCTGTTTACCATGATACTGCTTATTGGTGCAGTTATGAGAATTTTGTTTTCTTTAATGCTGACATGTAATCCATACTGAAGGCACACATCGAGGGCATAACACAGCCACTCCATACTCAGAACCAGAAAGGAAGATCCTAAGCACACTGTGATGATTTAACAGCGACAGTGGGGAAGATATCTGCATAGGAATATAACATTTCAATGAAGAGTTCTTCTAAACCTTATTCTTTTCGCTTGTTTAGGATGTCCACTTTTGGTAGCAGGTTATTGCTGTTGTTGTTGTTGTTAAGTGCTACCGAATAAGTTCTGACTTATAGCAACACTGGACAGGGTTTCTGAGGCCTGGCTGGTGGGTCTGAACCACCGAGCAGTGCTTATCCTACAGCACTACACCAGGACCCCAGATGGACAACATTTACACAAACAAGAAGAGAAGTCGTTGAAATGATGACAGGCACTGTGGCCAGTGGAGTCATCAGAGCAGGCCAGCTTCTCCTCAGTTCTGTCACTTCCCACTATCTCACTGCAGCCACAAGCAAAGCCATTTCCTTTCAGGCTCACTCAAGCACAAAAATAGCCCCTAGTCCTTCTTTATGATAGCTGGAGACAGGCTATCTGGGGCTGGTCAGTTTGTTTTTCTTTTCTGGAGTGAGGGAGATGTTTGTTTAAATATCTCTTCCTTCACCTTTTGCTTTATAGAATCTAGGTCCCAGAGCCAAACTCTTGAGTACGAGATATTATGCTTGACAGGTCTTACGTAGAGTGGCTGGAATCATAAACCTAACTTGTTACACATATTGTTCAGCAGTCTAGCCATACACTGGCCTTTTTACCTACACCGTGGGCATAGTTGGAAAGGCATCTATCTCTTCAGAACCCAGATGCTTTAAGGATCTGGAAATGGACAGTTTCCAGTACCATAGCTAATAACTGAATGATAAACACTCATAAGCTGCCTTGGCAAGCTGCTTAGCAGATCTGCAGAGAATATTACTACATAGTTTTAGGAAAGTCTGAGAATAGGGGGTGAAAGGCAGAGTGAATTTTTCTGGTCCTGCTATCCCTCCATCATGACTCACCACACACAAAACACGCACAGTCTTCTCAGGAACAGGATTTAGAACTTTGAGCCCAATTCTTTTGTACCTCTGCAGCTGTTTCCACAGAAGAAAGACCTCTACCTACCTGAGTTTTTGTCAGGCAGTCGGTTTATCCTCCATACAATGGAGTTGAAGGCATGCTCATACTTGGCGGTTCCCAGAGTTACTCTCATGACAGGTTCAGAGCCAGACACGCTAGTTGAGCCAAAACTTGCCCCTCGGTTCACTTTGGCTTTCAAAGACTTCTCCCCCAGGACACTTTCCCTGCGGAAATTTTTTACCCACTCACTAGGCACAGGGTAACGAATCATCACGTTCTCGCAGGGAACCTGAGTGAGAGGGTCACAGTTAGAGGAGAAGCCAGTGGACATCCTAAGCCAGCTCTGTACCTCCACCTCTGCCCCATTGATGCTTGCTGCCGTCCTGAGCGTGAAAGGTAAGATCTTCTCGGCAAACACTGTCCTGAACCGCATTAACTCAAACCGGCATGCATCCAAAGGGTTGAACAGGATAACCCGGGAGTTGCTGAATACACCTTCATCCACACACTCATGGAAACGACATTCATGGAGTTTGATCCACTTTGTGGTGGTGGTAGGCATGATGTCCTGCCGGGAAACTATCTCGTTCCCCTTGACGAGGATGTCATTGAGGCCCAGGCGGCATTCTGCAAGCCCTGAGAGGAAGCTGAGAATATGGATCCGCGTCAACACATGGTGCTGGAGAATCTGGTTGTCTCCTTTGCTCATAATACCAGAGAATTCGTCTCTGACATCCACTGTAATCTCCTCTTCAAGATAGTTCAAGCCAACTGTGCTCAAGTCCATTGACGACACCGGCAGATCCATGAGATGGTCCTGAACTGCATGGATGAAGCTAAGGAAATCACTGTAATTGGTAGTGCCCAGTTTAATCACCTGTTCTCTCTCTGCTATGTGGGCCACAGCGAGTTTGGGCTGGTATTTCTTCTTTTCTTTATAGGTGACACGATCAATCCGTAAGCTGTGGATCCTACCATTCTCATCATAATTCTGGAGGCGGGGTTCTGAAATCTCATGACAAATCTCCAGCTTGAACTCACGGAATGGCTTTTCTAGGCCCTGCTCATAATACAGCTGCAGAAAACCACTGTTTGTAAGTTTGATGTAGATAGGGCCCCAGTGTCTGGAAGACATGATGTTTTTTTTCTCAGGAATCCTCAGCATCATTGGCCATCCGTCCCTGGGCTGGGGCAGTACTGACGCAGGCAGGTGATCATCCAGATCAATCCAGGATACTGGGTCATCGTCAGGTAGTGTGGCACTGCCCAAGTGATCGGGATCATCAATTTGGAGCTGCTTGAGTTTTTCAACAGCATCAGAATGTGACTGGTGTTTGCTTGACTCATCAAAGCTGATGGCATCCTGGTAGATGACAATGAGGGAATCTCTTTGGCTTTTGCCTGTGGTGTTAGAAACGGAATTGATTTGGGAGCGCCTCTCCTGCTCCTCAAAAAAAGCACTGAAAGGATTGATAGGGGAGGGCTGCACATCCTGCAGAGTCTCATTCAGGAAAGGATTAGTTGCCCTCCAAGGGGGAGCTTCCGTTATGGAAGGTGGATGGTTCAAGGAGGAAATGTCTAGTTTCTGAACTGTAGAGAAGTTCATCAAAGTGCTCTTGGGACGTTCCCTCTTCTTAAAAGACCCAGTTGAGTTATTATGTACATCTGGGATCACAGATGCAATCGGAGGTGTGTTTGGCTTCAGAGGAGAAGTAACTGGTGGCAAAGGGCAGCTGACTTCATTATCTTCAAAAGTGACCCAGCTGGGGAAATGAGTAGAGGTCACTGGAATGGCAGGATGCCCATTCGTGGCTGGACTGCTCTCCTGCCAGCTGATGGCCTCCATCTCTACTTCCTCATCTTCCTGCAGTGAGGAGGAATTGTCTGGAAAAAATAGGGAGAAGATATGAGGGGCTGCTGTTGCAACTGAGTACACATGGGAATCAGGGATTACTAGATTTTTACTTGAAATCCAGTAAATTTAAATCAAAGCAGCTCATTACATTAGCGAATGCTAAATATGGTCATGGCTCTCATAATTTTGTAATTAGCCATCACACTACAGCCATTACATGCTGTTGTTGTTGTTAAGTGCTGTTGAGTTGGTTTCATCCCATAGCAACCCTGTATAGGGCTTCCAAGAAGCAGGTGGTGTGTTTGAACTGCCAACCTTATAGTTAGCAGTCCGGTGCTTATCTACCCTATAGTGCCACACCAAAAAGTGATGTTGGTCCAATCAATGCTGAAGCACTGATTGGGTCAAGGTCACTTGTAATTTAACTTTTATATTACCTTTTCATTTTATATAGTTTTCTAACATAGATGTTTTCTTTACTCTGTCTAAGACATATATTCTAATCTTCAAATCTGAAAACCATCTCCTATTAAAATGATTCATCATCAAAAAGAGCATTTCAAGATCTATTCTGAAGAAGAACACT